CAACCCATTTGCGTCAAGCGCTCTCTCAACATATCGTGTGAGAAACTTACCCGGAGCTCCTGGACGAAGCGCGGCGCCTCCTTGGGCTCTTCCGCCTCCTCCGGGCGCTGAGTCTCGCGAGACTCGAGGTCGCGGATCTTCTGCCAGCCCTCCGGGTGCTGTGTATCCAGATAGATTGAGCGGCGTGCTGCGGGGCATGTCAGTTGGTCAGTACGTGAAATTCACACCTTCATGCAAGTCGTTAAAATCGGGAGGATGAAATTTGGAGTCAACGGCTATGTTTGGACGCGAATTATCTTGACAGAGAGCTTCTTATTTGTTCCTTTGTGCTCCTTTTTTGTTAGTGGTGGATGTTTGCGCAAAGTTCGCCACTCGAAGCCCGGAAAGCGAGAATGACAAAAGTCAGCTACTCGCTGCCTGGCGGCGCGGTTGGGCAGTCAGTTCCCGCTCTCGTCACTAGATGACACTAGTGGTAGGCGCCTGATCGCATACTGCACCGCAAGGCACAGTTGAGCGCTGGCGAATTCAACAGCTCGCGGCGGTTAAACAAATAAGTGCGCTGACCGTCACTGGGGCATTGCACTTACTTTTGACAAATGAAAAGCACGGCACAACATTCAGCATAGAAATAGTCGAAGAAGTTTTTTTTTAACGGAAGGATGCCTGAGGTGAAAGAAAGCATCATTAACAGTTCAAATCGAAGTTGAATAGACGGCAGAAAATATCGAAAACAGTTGGAACAAAAAGGAAGAGGGAAACAGTTGTCACGAAGTTAAAGAGACGTCGAAAAGTCACTTAGAAGCACGATTTTCTGAGCAATTTTTCAGCTCTAAAGCTGCACGAATCAATGCTGACAGAACAGATGCAAGTTGATATTGTGGAGAAAGAAGAAATCTACACGATGCGGAACTCCAAGTGAACAAAGCACATAAACCAAACCTGCTGTGTTGTCTCGTACCTCGATCTGACGAAAAGGACAGATAATTAATGATTTTTTTATCTTCCTCAGTCTGTCTTTGCCAAACCAATCGAAGAAGCAGAACAACGCTTAGACGTACAACGCATTAACGGACATTAACGCACAGTTGTTACCAACAATTAGTCACCAAGCTTCCAGGACATACCATACCAGACAAGGAACCACAGTTGTCTGCATTGTAAATTGTCAACATAAACACTGGACGATTGTTTGTCATGGTTTTCTTGTTATGTAATGAATGCGCACTGCGCATGTTAGGTTTTATGTGAATCATATTATACTTGTGAATTTATACATGTTGGTGTGTGTTCCTAAGTGTTAAGTAAATATGTACAACGTTGAGCTGAAGGTAGGACCATGCGATAAAACAGCTTGATAAATTTAAGTTTTACTTCGACATCTCTTCATGCATAGCGTTGAATGACCATGACATAACGGTTTGCTTTTTGTATTAATTTTCTAGCTGACAGCACATCTTATTCCTCACGCCACCGCACCAGCACCTTCTCCCGCCCCTGAGCACGGATTCTAGTCCCCCAAACTCACCGTTGACCCGAATCGTGCATGTGTTGACGGCCTCTCCAAGCTCGTTGGTGGCCTTGCACATGTAGGTGCCCGAATCCTCCGGGTAGGAATACAGAATGTCTAGCGCCACGTAGCCGAAGTCGTGAGTTGTCCGGAACCTGAAGGCAAGGCAATTGGTGCATTATCGGCCGCGAAGATACGAAAAAAAAACCACAATGGCTCTTTCAGCAGAATTCGTAGTCCATTTGGCATTTTGAGCTAAACATGGCCATGGGTGGACCTCTGTGTCGGGTAATATGATTAGGTTTAGAAAGCTTTTCATAAAAAACATCGGTACATATTTTGTTCGCTGGTCAGTGGTCTATATTGAAGAACTGATTTTGCAGGGCGTAGTAATGAATCAAGGAAGACGGTTTCCCTTTCCGACGGCACGCCGTTTGTTTAATCTGATTTTGTCGGTCGTTTCCAGATAATCAATCACCGGGAATAGCAACAGACCTGGGACGGGAGTATCATTTTACACACCAACACTGTGCCAAATCGGTTGGCTGCCGTCGTGGCAGCCTGGCTCGAATCCCGGCAAAATCAACACATCGCTTATCGCCCTCTGGCGCAGCTGGGGCAGCTGACGATGCAGCAGATTGCGTCACCTCTGACACCCCCTCCCCTCCCGTGACGCCGTCACAGGTGTGCTGCAGGTACTCCGTGACGTTACGACCGAGGATAAGGCGCTGTCAGGAAAGATAAACACGTGATTCTCCAAATCACGTGTCATCCCAGCCGGTTACGAGGTAATAAATGAGGGATGTAGGTGGAGCGGGTCATATGACTTCCGTACAGCTGTGGAGAGCACGTGCGGCCCCTTTTTCAGATTGCCCCCATCTCCTTTTGTCCCCTCACCTTTATTGTTCTTTCAGCCACGAATTGTTTCCTATCTGCAGCATGATTTTATTTTAGCGTAATATTTAGTTTAGCCCAAATAATTCACAATGATTGATGTCACCAGCATTGTATGCGAATGCTCTAACGTATCGACCACCGGTCCCCTGTTGCTCCCGTCTCCTCTCTCCCTCCGCCTCCCCTATTTCCGTTCGTACCTGTGTCCTGTCCGGATTTCCTTTCCATTGACGAACCACTCTACCCGCAGTTTGGGGTCGTTGATGGGCTCCAGGCGGCACTCGAGGTGAGCGTGCTGACCTTCCTGCAGGTTCTCCAGGCTGGGGAGGGGTGACCGGTCAGAACACCCAGCGCCAAACGGAAACCGGCACTGTGTTTAACGGCGCGGCAGGGATGTTGATAAACAGAGGTACACTTGGGTGTCGGGCTGATGCGTTTGTTTGTGGTAAGAATAGGAGGGGGTCCATGGCTGGCAGTTTGAAGTTCTAATGCGCTGAAAGAGTCTGAGATGCGTGGAGACTGGAGAATGAAGATGGTGTGAGATGCGACATCTCAACTTCGTATTATTATGTTATGACGTGAAAGGGACTGACAAGGCCAAGGATAAAAGCAGCATGCGTTTTGTCATGATATTACACGATAATGCCTATTTCTGCCGATTTTCAGTAACTAAATCAACGTTTGCTCAGAAATTAATAACTGAACTTCACTCAGTTACTTCACTTTAGTTGTTTTAGGACTGTAAATTGATAATACAAATGTTGTGCATGAATACGTGATTCCCCACCCGGTATCGGTGCTCGTTCCCGTCAACTGTTTGTTGTCGGTTGCTTACTTGTTGAGTGGAGTGGTAAAGACTGGCTTCTGCATCTCCGGGGCGGCCTCCTCGGGGCGGATCGCCTCCGTCGCCTCCAGACTGCGGATCTTCTCCAGTCGCGCGGCATCGAGCGTGTCCAGACATAGACCCTGCTTCCCTGTAACGGTGGAGAGGTCGGGTTAACGGCCTGAAATGGAGCGAGCATAGCGGAACAGCGAACGGACACCCCTTCGCAAACCTGACAGTTGAGGAATAGAAACATCCAAACCATGATTAATCATTTAACAAAACGAATGTGCAATAATAGGTGTTAGCCAAACATGTGTGGCGCTATTTTGATGTCAAGGTGAATGATGGTCAACTCTCTCAACTCTTTGACAACCGAAGACGTGCTGTATTGGTTCCAAAACATGCCACTCTTCTGTGTTCACCACATTAATCATCAGGTTATTAGTTTTGGACCGCGAGTTCCATGTTGAGTCGGCAGCAAACTTCTCAACGAGGGCAGATGAACCATGGTACGATCAGCACCAGGAATTCTTTGAGAGCGGTGATCGAACGTCGGCTAGGAATCCCGGGTTGATGTGTGCGCTCTATATTTGTCCTTGACATTGGACCGGTCTGTCAGATCAGGCCGGCAGGGGTAGGGATGGGGACGAGATCGCTATGCTGGCAGTTCGGAGTGGCCATTCGATGTGCCAAGCTCGAGAGGGTGCTGTCGGCACCTCGAGTGCCATCGACGTCACGGCTCAGGAATAGAAGGGCCAGTCATCGCGCCGAGGAAAACAGAGGCACAATTTGGTCATGCTCGGGTCCACCTGCCTCGCCGCCAGGTTTTCAGCGCCTCTGACGCCTGAGTCAGGCACATTTTAGTGGCCACGTCAGATGAATTGAACCCTGTCAGGGGTCGCCAGCCTCCCTGACGTCAACAAGCTCTGACGCATTTGGCCGAGACTGTCAGTTCTGGGAGCTTCCCCGCCGTCTGGGTGATGCGGACGGAGGAGAGACGGACGGCCGACGGTCTGGAGCAACAGGTGTGTCCATCTGCCGGAACTGAGCCGTGACGTGTGTCCGTCCGTCCGCTGTCTGTCCAGCTGTCTGTCCAGCTGTCGGGACAGACAGCGGCACGGCGCGAGCTGAGGCGCGCAGCCGCCGACAGACTCAGATCTGGACACTCGCCGTCTCTCGCGCGCGTTCCAGCTCGGTCGCTGTGGCCGCTTTTAGGGCGGCCCGGGCCGGCAGCCGAAATAGCGCTGTGAGTCAGCGCCGCCCGAGAGCGGTTAAAAGGGAGCTGCGCCCCCGGAGCCAGCTCACTCGGTGTTAGAAAGCTGCAGAGGAGAGGCCAGATGAATCAGCAGGAGTTGCACTACGCGCGGGAGGGTGGGGAACGGGGTGGGGAGGCGAGGGGAGGGTAGAGGTGGGGGGGGGGGGGGCGGGACGAAGTGGCCTGGGGAGGGTGGGATGACGGGGAGGGATATGAAGAATTTAGGTGTCGCAGGGACTTAAATGTTATGTTTACGATTTAACGCACGGACAGCCGTGCAACGGTATCCCTTTTTGTTAATACACTTTTCAGTATTTATCTTAATGGCGCCTTTCCGGGCTATCGTATGCATTGACGCTTATCAATGCGTGTCTTTGTGTTGTATTATAGTGCTCGCTTCCGGTTGACTAAATCATCTCATCTCTTTTTTTTTGCGCATTGCCATCAGCTTGTCTTTTACATATTCCTTTTTTTGTATTTCTCTTCATTTTGCTGACTGTCAGGCCGCAAAAACGGTGCACTGCGCCACAAATTTATTGCAGTACTAGTCACCAACATTCCGCTCTGCTAGCGTGCAACACTGCACTGTAGCTCGATTAGCTGTTATGGCAGTTCGTTCGCGCTATCGTATTAATATCATCGGAAAGTTCGAGAAATAGTTTTAAGTCGTATACATCGTTGTCCTCGGCGACAATTTAACCCACAACCAGGCAGCTGCTTGTTTGACGTTGCTGGCAAAGATATTAGGTAAAGACTTGGTGGAATTGCACTTTCGGTCAGTGGGACGAGCTAAAAAATTGATGCGCTAGAGAATTGTGGCAAAGTTGGGACTTTGTGTTAGAGGTGTGTAACGGATCAAAAGCAGCAATCGTTATTGCGCATACACGTACTTCAACCACAATAAACTACAAAAATAATGCCTAATGCATGCAGTTGCAGCTCACAAAGTCGTTACACCACAGAAGCAATGCTCACTCAACATTCAACGACAAAAGCAGTTTAACAATAGTGCGACATGATACTGTCCACTTTTTGCTACAGTGTTCTGCCAGGTGACTGTCTTCTCCGAGTCTCACTGATGCTATAAAGAACTCTCAACACTGCCTTCGATTGCTGACTCTAACGTCCGATAGCCGGTAGCGTCTCGATAGTCGTTTCAATTTTCTTGCTCCGCATAAGCTCTTCTTCCGTTTTGGTCTCCACGGTCTTTTGAATCCTGTACTTTCCGTCTGGTCGCACCTCTTCTGTCTCAAACACCTCCGTCTTATTGTCCACCTTTTTGGCGTTCATGTTCTCCTTCTCCCTCCGTATGGAGCGGTTTGCCTCCTCGATATGCTCCACGTCTCCCCCGCTCGTGTAGCCCAATGATTGGTAGTGCTCGTTCTTTCCATCTTTCGTGCGTTTCTCCATGAAAGCCGACTCGGAGCGTGGTCCAGCGCTGCCACTGGATGACCCCAACCGAGCCAGCTGGTCCTTCTTCGACTCATCTGTCCCGCTTGTTTCGGTCTTCGTTTTCCTCAATCCAAACTGATTTGTGGGTTCTTTGCCAGACATCGCCGGCTGGGAGCCCCAGAGACTGCCTGAAGTGCCGGATGTCGTTTCGAAAACTGTTTGGTTCGTTTCTTTGCTGGATGGCGGCAGCACACTTCTTGCTTGTGGCGCTGATGACTGCGGCCAGCAGCTGCTGGTGTGTTCTGTGTGACTTTGAGACGTCTCGTGGCGCACCTCGGACGAACTCTGCGTTACAGAGGACCCGAGTGTCGGCCCAGGAAGCGTCTTGGGTCCGCTGCGCTGAACAGAGTACGTTGAACGCTCAGAAGACTCGGTGTCTTTTGTCACGTTGCCGGTCGCCTCGTGACTCTTGCTATGTGAGGATGTCTCTTGCTTGTCAACATAGGGAGAGGCACCGAATGGTGATCCAGTAGTTTTTCCTGACGAAGCCAGATCTGAGTGAACAGCACCACCTTGACTTTGCACTAAGCGTGGAGCTCCGGCTGGTGCCATAGCTACTGGTATCTTGCGTTCATGCCCTGAAGACATTGTCTGTTTTTCGAAAGTCGACTGTTGGATTGTGCTATTGGTTTTCTGTTGTGGTGCCTGACCGTAAGCTGGCCTCGAGACGGGCGTCTGATTTTGACTTGCCTGCTGTCGTTGTTCTTCGTACCACTTCTCTTGATATTGCTGCTGTTGAGGAACATCTGGCTTGTGGGAAGGCGCACTTGCAGCTGCAATATTTTGATAGCGCTCCAGACGGTTTTGTGATGTCATCGTAATAGGTATTACCGTTTCATTAGACGTTTTGGATGTTTGTTGTGTCGTTGATTCAAAACGACCAAAACCTTGTGAGGTCTTTTGTTCCTCTTTCAACGGGGTTCTCAATACAGGCTGGCTCGGCGAAGCGTATATCGGCTCAGGAGTGAGCGGTACGATCCGCTCTCTGTTCTCCATTTTACTTGACGAGTCAGTTTTTCTTTGTTCGAAGTGACTAGAACTTTTCATTTCCTTGAATGATGAAGTTGAAGATGATGGGACACTCCTAGGTGTATGATCTTGGAAGAGCTCCGTCTGTTGTCGATATTGCTTGCTTGCATCATTCATCGCTGACTGCGTTGTTTTTAAGCCGCTGGTAGTTGCTGGCATCTCGATGGGAATTATTTGCTCACTATGGTGATAATTTCCAGATGTTTCTTCAGATGTTTTCTTTTCGTCAGTCGCTTTCCAGCTCGGTTGCCAGGTTGGTATAGTTTGGAGTGGCTGAGAAGGTTGTTGGTTGATTTGCTCGTCTAGCGAAGAGCTCAGATCCGTCATATCGTGCCACGACATGCTCTGGTCCAGGGAGCTCCAATGATCGCTGAACGGCTCGGGAGTTAACAGCGGCGGGAACTCGAGGGCTTTTGGGGCCTGGAAGGCCGGGAAGCCATGGTCGAACGTCTCAAAGGACTGCGACATGGTCTGATACGAGCTCTGCTGCATGGTCTTTGAGGTGCTTGACCCAGGAAGGTTAGTCACCGAGTGGAGCACCTCGTGACTCCTCTTCTCAGCTGACTCGCTCTTCCGATGTCCAGTGGCGGTCTTCTCATCGCTCTTTGAGCTGCTGAATGTCTCTTGTCGGTCCACATACGGCTCCGGCATACTGGTCGGCGTGTGCGGCAACTGCTGGGGCATCACATCCATTACGCGTGGGGTAGGCTTAGGGCCTGGACGCTGATACAGGCCGCTGTCGGTCTTCGCAGAGAATAGGTGAGCGGTGTCTCGCTTTTCACTGCTCTCCGTCTTCGACGATGGGACTGGCTGCCAAGTGACGTGCGGCGTCGGACGGACGGTGTCTGTTGTTTTCACCGTTTGTTCCGTCGTTTCACGTGTGCTCTCAGTCTTCTCGGTGCGTGTTGTGCTCTCCTGCCACGGCGCACTCGGCTCTGACACTGGTCTGGCGGTGACTGGTCTCGCCTGGTCGCTCTGCTGACTGCTTATTTTCGCGATGACTTCACGCTTTCGCGACTCGTCGGTCGCGTGGCTACCGGCGAGGCGTTTGTGAGGTGGCGCGGTGGGAGCGGACGCCGGTTTGGCAGTCGGCCAGGGTCCGGCCGACGGTGTGGACTGCCGCCATGACGACGACAACTGAGACGTCATTGTACGCTCGAATGTTTGAGAAAGTTCGCTCTGTTGTTTAGCCTCGGCAGGCGGTCGGAAGATGGGCGCAGATGGGTGGGCGGATTCCGATGATTTTGTTTGTTGGAACTTTTCCAGATTGCTCTTGGTCTCTTTTGTGGAGTAAGTTGGTGTGGGCGGAGGGACTGGTTTTGGGATTTCATGCGTGCTCTCAGTCCGACTACTGAACTGCTTAGACTCAGAAACTTTGGTAATGTTCGACGTAGGAGTAACGGTCCGTTCCACTGGTGCGGGCGATGGCGAAAAGACCCGTTTCTCCTCCTCCCTGGTTGTTTGCTTTGTCCTCTTTGCAATGTCATCGTACTTTTTCATAAGTTTCTCTTCCTTCTTTCGTCTTTTCTGCTGAGATGTAAACGTATCTATTGTTTGTTTTTCTTCTTTTGGGCCGAATTTTGTTGAAATTTCAGGCTGGGCCTTTACCGTAATGGGTGCCTTGGGCACTATGGTGTCCGTTTTGACAACCTTCTCAGTAGTGGTGAATGACACAGGTAGGTCTGCCTCGTTAGAAAATGGATACTCCACACCCGACGTCACTTTAGGCGCCTGTTTGCGAACTGGTTTGGGACTGTCCACATGCTTAACGGCCTGCAATTTTGACTCTGTCGGCATTTCCTGGGGAGCTGCTTCTTCAGGTGCAGGCGGGGCTGGCACAAACTGTGTTGGAGTGAAACGGACAGGCTCGGGTGCAGGGATGACCTCTGGCTTTTCGGGGAGCTTTGTGTGAACCTCACTGGGAGGAAACTCCTGTGGCGTATCATCAACTGCAGCGGCCGGTGTAGCTGTTGGCGCGGTAACGTGTTTCAGGACACTTTCTAGAACATTCGAGGCTTTTGTTTTCTCCGTTATCGATGGGGCTGGCTGGGATTCCGAAATAGGCTTGAATGGCGCTGGGAAGGGAATCACCGTCTCGTAAATGTTCTCCTTTTTCTTCTCTTCCTGTCCTTCGATATGTATTTTGTGATATATCGGTGGCTCCTGAATTTTAGGACCGATGGAAAATGCGTTTGTGTACGACTCATAGGTGTCCATTTGTAGCGGTTTGCTTTCAATCTCCTTGATTTTGATCGTTGTTTCTGAATCTGAGAAATCAGACATGCTAGTGTCGTGATAGGATGTCTTTCTTTCACGTTCACGCAGGCTCGCTGGCTTTTTCCCCTTAGCGGCCGTTGTGACTGGTCTTGGCGGCAGGTGTGTTGGTTGAGGTAATGGCATGTGGTCCTGCAAACTTGGTGGCTGGATGGTTTCAAAAGTCCGGTTCGTTTCATGCCACGACTGAAACTGCGATACGTGTGATTCCGTGGTTGCCTTGGGCTGTGGAAGAGTTTCTGCCAAAGGAGGAAATTCAGTCAGGTGGATGGGCTGTTCGTTTAGTGCGTCCTGCACGTCTTTTTCTTCCTTACGTTCGGTAACTTTCTTGATAAACTTCTCTTCCATGCGCTTTTGTTGTGCTGTCTGAGCTGCTTTGGGCGTTTCCACGGGCTCGATCCAAATCGGCTGTACTTTGGGAGAAAAGGTTGTAGGCTGCTTTGTTTTAGCACCGTCAGATGTTTTAAGAAAATCTGGTGTATGCGCATTGTTCTTGTCAGGTGGTGGTGGATGTATTTGCTCCGTAGTGTCTGGGATTTCTACAGTGGTTTTCTCTGTAATGTGCTTTGCTATTTCTTCGTGCGACTTATTGAAGCTGTCGACAACTGTCTCACGATGACTTGCAGGCGGAACGATGGGACGAAGCGAATCAGGTGCTGAGACCTGACAAGTATCAGGTGCGTCTGTCAGTTCCTTGCGCTCTGTAATTTTCTTAATGAATTTCTCCTCCATGCGTCTTTGCTGCTCTGTTTGAGCTGCCTTAGGTGTCTGCTCGGGTTCACGCCACACCTGTTTCGAAGGGATCGGTGCAGGAGCTGCTTGTCGTTCCCGATGCTCGCTCGTCTCAACGAATTCTTTCTTTTCCGTTTGCTTGGAAAAAAGATTTTCACTACTCACTATTTCAGCTGGTGTTGGTCTCGGCTTTACAGGGTTAAAAACTTTGGTTTCAGGTTTTGTTACTTCGCTTTCCTGCTTCATGAGCTTTTCTTGAACAAAGCTTTCTTCTGTTTGGGGTACCGTCGGCAAGAGTACCGGTTCATTCCGAGGCACTTCAATTGGCTCTTTTGGTTCTGATAAAGGTCGTGTTGTTTGCTCAATCTTGGTGAAGGTACTGGTCTTAAACTCACGCACCTCCTTTGTGCATATTACTGGACCCATTTGTGTCATCTCTGGTTGCAGGTCCAAAGAAGGCACAGGTTCTGGTTTGTCTGATATCTCCCTTGATTCCTGATTTTGAGTCAGCTTCTTCACAAACCTTTCTTCCATTTTTCTTTGATGTTCAGACTGAGAAGCCTTTGGTGTCTGTACGGGCTCTTGCCAAATGGGTTTGATTGGTTCGGTTGGTATTGAGACAGGTTTTACTGCTTCTTGAGCAATATCAGACGTGTTGCTCGTATACAACTCCTGTTTATACGAATGCATCCGATCAGTTTCGTCAGCTGAAGTCGCGCAAGGCTTTGTGACGGGTCCAGCACTGGTTTCTTCTGGAGTTACTTTTGACTCCTTGTTTTCAATCACTTTCTTTAGAAACTTTTCTTCCATTCGCTTTTGTTGCTCAGACTGTGAAATCGTTGGGGCTTGTTCTGGCTCCTGCCATTGTGGAACAAAATGCGGCATTGAAGGAGCTGTGTCTCGTACCGAACTAGTTGTCTTTGTTTCATGAAATTCTTCCGAGTGGAAACTCTGCCTCTCGGTCAATGGCTCTGGCTGCCATTGGTCAACTGCTGTGTATGGGGTGGGCTTCACAACTGGAGATGTTGGTCGTCTTATTGGACTAGGAGTGTCGTATATAGGAACAGTCACCGGCGCTTGCACAGGCGCTTCTTTCTTTTCTTGATCTTTTGTTTCCTGCATCTCAATGACCTTTGTGAATTTTTCCTCCATTAGTTTTTGTTTTCCCGTTTGTTGGAACTGAGGTTCAGGTTCATGCCACACAGGTGTGGTTGGTACAGCCTCAGCTACTGGCGTTTCCGCTTCTTGCGTGGATGTCGTGCTCTTCTCGAAGTGTGAACTGTGATGTTCCTTCAGTTCGTGGTACTCTGATGGTTGCGATAGCGGAGGTTCTACCTGTTGTGGAAATTCATGGATGGGGACAGGCACTGGCTCTTCCCGTTGATCAAGTGTCTCCTTTTTCTCAGTGACTTTCTTCATAAACTTTTCTTCCATTCGTTTTTGCTGTTCACTTTGTCCTGCCTTCGGCGTATGCACTGGCTCTTGCCAAACAGGCTGAAACTCTGCTGCTCGAACTGTTGGGATCTCTTGATCTGTTTTCGTAGTAACAGTTTGGGTCATGTGTGTCTCGAAAAGGGAACCACTCTGCTCGTCTACTACAGGCGCTTGGAATGGCTTAGGTTTTGTGTTTTCTAGGGGCTTTTGACCGGCTTTTTCGGTCATACGAGGCACGTCGTAAATTGGAGTCGGTAATGAGTGAGCGGATTCCTTGGTTTCCTTGAAATGTGTTTCAGTTTGTCCCACCTCTTGGGGTCGTGCTGGCTCGTGCCGCACGGGTATAATTGGTGCAGGCGGCTGCTCACGTGTGTCTGTGTGCTGTGCAGTAACAGTCGATGTCTGAACCTGATGGACCTTAGTCATGGAAGTGATCTGATGATCAGTTGTCACTCGCTCTGATTCCTGTTTTGTATGGTCGACAGTCTGCATTTCCGATGCCATTGATTCGGGTTCCACTTTTGGGGCGATAGGTAACTCCTTCGACTCTTTCCGCTCGGCAACTTTCTTTATAAACTTTTCCTCCATTCGTTTCTGTTGTTCAGTCTGAGCTGCTTTCGGCAACTGAATCGGTTCATGCCACACGGGTGGTGCGGGAACTGAAGCGGGAGCTGGGGTTGTCTCCTCTTCGCGTGTGAATGTGTTAGACACGCTTGTCACTTGTGATATAAATCTCTGTTCATCTGTTGTCTCCTCTTGTGGCTTCATAACAGGAATATACTGAGGAATCGCCGGTGCATCGCTCGGCTGGTCTTGCACATCTTTTGACTCTTGATGTTCGATCACTTTTTTAATGAATTTTTCTTCCATTCGTTTCTGTTGCTCTGTTTGGACCACCTTTGGTTCTTGTATCGGCGCGTGCCAGACGGGTGCCTCTGGGATCGGCTCTGGAGTTGAAAACGTTTCATGTTTTGTTGTCATATATGTAGTGGATCGGCTTACATTTTGAGTGAGCTGCTCTTTTTGTGCATTCGTGGTCTCCGTTTGTGGCTTCGCAACGGGTGCCTGTACAGCATCTGGGACCTCGACTGATTCGACATTCATTTCTTTTGACTCTTGGTGGTCAGCAACTTTCTTCATGAATTTTTCTTCCATGCGTTTCTGCTGTTCAGTTTGCGGCGCTTTAGCGGCAATCACAGGCTCGTGCCAAAGAGCCGTGGACAGCTGAGCGGGTGGAGAGGGAACATCCTGTTGCGTGGTCGTTGTGACGGTGCTTGATTCACAAATCTGCTTTGAATAGAATTGTTGTCGATTATCTACATCAGCAGGCAATGGGATGTATTCATGCTGGACTGGGACAGGCTCTGGAGCCACTGTCTCTCTTTCCTTTGTCACTACGGTGTCTTCGGTGAACGTTTTGTACTGCGATGTGTGAACATCGTCGATGAGAGAGGGTTCAGAAATTTTCGGCGACGGAGGCCGAGGCGGGCGAGGGACGTCGTATATCGGGGCAGGCCCCGGAGATGGCTCAATGGGCAGCTCCTTCGACTCTTTCCGCTCAGTGACCTTCTTCATAAACTTCTGCTCCATGCGTTTCTGTTGCTCTGTTTGAGCAGCTTTAGGTGTCTGCACTGGCTCGGTCCACACTGGTTTAATTGGAATGGAACGGGGAGCTGAGGTTACCTCCGGCTCTGTCTTAGTCGTGATGACTGTCGTTGATTTCGTAGTCTCCAGTGAGGCGATCTTTCGTTCCTCCATCGTATCATGTTCTTTGGGTTTGTCAACACAGGGAGCATGTGCTAGTTCATGTGGTTTCTCGACGACCGTGACCTGGGGACAAACAGCCGGTGCCGTATCTTGTTCTTTATCCACCTTCGAGGTCATCGTGAAACTCCCTGAGTTGATTGTGGTCGTAGACGTGGTCATCGCTTCGGCTGGTTTCGTTGGTGCTGGTCTGAACACCACTGGCTTTAGGATCTCTTTTGCCGTCCACTCACTAGTCTTTGACGTCTTGATGGCTCTTTCGTCCACCACATCGCTGTACACAGGAGGAATGAATGGCTTCGGACCCGTTCTTACCGGTGAGGGGGACGTCCTCCGTAGTGGCCGCATAGATGGGATAGCTTGAGGTTTTACCAGAGGCGTTACGTATGGCTCAGATCTTCGCGCTGAACGGGGTCTTCTCTGCTCACGAATCATTGGTGCTTCGTCTGGGGAGATTATGTGTTCAACAGACCTCGATCTTAGCCTCTTGTAAGGCTTAGATGCTGGTGCTCCTCCCGTCTGTTGCTCAATGTTGCTACTTTCAGTCTTGTCCTTTGAAACGGTTGTGATGGTGTTTTTTGAAAGTTCATCCCTACTTTCCCGTTTAATCGTCACTTTTGCGTCAGTGACAGGTTTGCCTATCGGTAATGGTTTGACCTCTGGCTTAGTTTCTTCGAAGGTTTTTGTGCTGGAACTCATGAACTTTTCATCCTTAGTTTTTGCAATTACGTCTGGAACCTGCGGCACTACAGGCTTCCAAAGGCTCGTAGGCTGCTGTTGTTGCTCTCCATATGTTTTAGTCGTCTTCATATATTTACTCTCCCTCGCTTGGTTGATTCGGGACTGGTTGTCAAACGCGGGCCTTGGGGCAGGTTGGAAAGCACTCGCACCCTGAGCTACTCTCTCATTCGAGCTTGTTGCAATCTGGATAGGGATGATCCTTCCATCTAATGAGTGTGAACGCCCGGTAAATTCCTGGCTAGCGGTCTTTTGGAGACTTTGACTCCTCGTCCGGAGGCCCTCAGTATCCCTCAGTCGAACGCTGGATCGGGACTGACGATCCATGGAATCATCTTTCTTCTTGTCCCTTGAAGCCAGGTTGGATTCTCTGGTGTCCTGAACATGCGACTTTTGCGTCGAAGTGGTGCTTCCAGACGGAATGTCTGTTACAATCGTCTTCTTTGAAGTTGTAACGGAAGTGATTTCTGTCTTGGTCATGCTTCTGTGGTACTCTGTGTTACCCTCTTTCCACGATTTGCTCTCACTCTCGTGATGTTTTGTGTCCTTTTTATCGAAATAGTCAGGATTGGAGATGGTGGACCCAGAAAAGAACTCGTTCATCGTTTTAAATTGTTCCAGCGAAAGATCACGCATGTTAAAGGCAACTGGCACTGGGAAAGGCTGATCGTCATCCCAGGTTGTTGTAAAGAAGTCTGAGTTAGACTTCATCGTGGACGATTTCGAAGTACTAGATTTAGTTGTGGTTTTGGTTTCAGAAGACTGCACTGTCTTCTCCTCTGGTACTGGTAATTTAGCTCTCTCGACATACGTACACTCAGCGTTATAGAAGGGATAGTACACACCTGCGATAGCGTTAGAGTGCTGGCGCTGCTGTTGCTGCTCCTGCTGCTGTAGGTGGTTAGCGCTACGGGAGCTGTAAGCGTTAGTCAGGGTGCTACTGGAGTGCTGCTCTGTCGTGGTATCTGTCACATCTCTGGTCATCTCCTGTGTCATCTGGTCACTACGGACATCCTGCTCGCGCTGCGCCCCAACTACCCCGTTCACCACTCCTTCACCCAACCCATCCCCGACAACGGCCGAAGTGCCGACACCGGCACTGCTGCGGCCCTCTATCGAGTCTACGGTGGTGCGCACACTCCTCCACGCGACCGGCGACTCCGGTTTACCTTCGACGGTCACTTGGCACGTGGTGACGGCCTCGCCGGCGGCGTTGGTGGCCTTGCACATGTAGGTGCCGGAATCCTCCGGGTAGGTGTATAGAATGTCCAGCGCCACGTAGCCAAAGTCGTACGTGGTACGGAACCGGTGACCTGTGGGCATAGAACGCGTCGTTGAAGTGCAAAGTCGATATAAATTTAGTTGCAATTTGTTCAATATTTGAATCGCAATTGAAGTGCATCATGACGATCAATTTCACTTGTAAGTGTATGCGTGAATCAGGTAATTTCGTTTCGTGTATGATGAAAGTTAACATGCCATTCCTCAAATGATTGGAATAATACACTCCATGGCCATCGCCCAGCTCCTCTCCGTATCCTTCTCCGTCGTTTCCCATCTCTTGCCCTGTCACTCACCCTGCGGGATCGGCCGTCCGTTGTAGAACCATTCCACCTTCATGGTGGCGTCGTTGACCGGGGTCAGCGTGGCCTCCAGGTGCGCGCTCTGACCCTCGGCCAGGGCGGCGTTCCGCAGCGGCCGGCCGAACACGGGCTTCTCCAGGGAAGCGGTCTCCTCGTGCACCTCCCGTCGGCGGTCCGACTCCAGGTAGGAGATCTTCTGCATCGCGGCCGGGTGCTGCGTCTCCTGGATTAGCGAGGCGCGCGCTGTGGGAGGGAGGGAGGCGTTAGAGCAATGTTGATATGTATTGACATCAAAAGCCTTCCACATATAGCGTGGTGATTACGGCTTGGTGTCACGATGGTTGAAGAGAGGCGTGAAGGCTGTTAAGAATTTCAATGATGAATTTCAATAAGAATTTTAGTGAATGTCTATGAGAGAATCGCTATGCTAAAAGCAAGAGATTTCCAGAGGTATTAAGAATCAGACGTGAGTTTACCACGAAAGTCGAAAATAACTCAGGCTATGTAGCAAATCAACATCATCCACCGCACTGTTGCCAACTTCAGCAGGATGGCGTCACTATCGCTATTTCAAAACACAAACAGTAGGGGGCGGCCAAAGCGCTACTGATGTTCGTCTGGATATTTTTAACGCTGACGAAAGAAAACTGCATGCCGGCGAGCTAATTATATCCCAATCAAACGCCGTTAGTCTCTCGGCTGCCTAAAAAATACTAGTTTGCGACAAACGATCTACGTTTGGGCCAACAGAACAAGAAGAAAGCATAGCATTACGTAATATATCGCTCACAGTAAATATCAGATCGCATGAATATCATATTCGTATCAACATGTCGCAGTTATCTTGCAAACCCCGAACGCTTCTTGCACCGTTCAACAGAAGCTGAGAAGGCGCCAATTATCTTTTTTACACTGACCTTGTATTTTGATGTTGATGGTCGAGGTGGCCGAGCCCAGCCGGTTGGTGATCTTGGCCGTGTACTCGCCAGAGTCTTCGGCGTACGCGGAGAGCACGTCCAGCGCGATGAAGCCGAAATCGTTGACGGTGCGGAACCGGTGACCTGAGAGGAGACATGAGCGTGTGTCAGTTTATCAAGAAGCAAGGAAAAAGGGAAAGAACCGCGACACTTTCTGAAGATCAGTCAAGTGGTGAAGCACTTCCAAATGAAGAACCACTCTTCGTGAGTGGAGACTCACCGGTGCCGACCGCCTTTCCGTTGTGGAACCACTCGACCTTCATGTCAGGGTCGGGGTAGGGCTCGATTCGCGCCTCCATGTGAGCCGACTGACCCTCCACCAGACTGGTGGGGCCTGTCAGCTCGGTCACGAACCTGCGTGAAGAGAAGGGAAAAAGTGTGTGACGGGGAAGAACACGATGAGACCTGCTCTTACCGTTGTCCCACGCTTATCGTTACATTTTTCTCATTTTCATTATCCGCTTTTGACTTTACCTCTAAAGTTTACACAGGCTCCTGTTGCACGTTCGTTCATCGTGTTTTTCTCATCACTTTGATGAATTTTTGACACCATGACATCCGTTCTTGTGCAAGTTGATCTGATGGAAGTTCTGTGCCGTACTTACCGTGGTTTTTCAGTGACGACAGTCTCCTCGATCTCAGTCCGGGTGAACGCCCGTCCCTCCAGCTGACGCAACTTCTCCAGGGAGCTGGCGTTCTGCGTCTCCATCAACAGCGAGTCCTTGGCTGTGGATAGAACGCGTTGGCTTTGTCATCGACCAAGCAGGAAGAACCATGGCGCTAGCAGCGGTCGTGGTCTGTAATCTGGGATCTTTGATGTGCAACTTTATATAGCTACAAGACATTCATAGTTCTACTGCGAAATATCGGATCCATGGACATGGTACGGGGACCCGCAGTTGCTACTGTACAGCGACCCTGAGTAAATTGTCCCAGCACCCTCACAGGGAACAACGGTAAGCTGTCAGAGGGCACGCACAGAAAACCTCAGCTACTCTTGTACAGGTACCGGCCGTCGATATCAATGTTATCGGTTGTTACTGGACAGGACAGACGGCTAAAGTTGGGGTTCGTGTACAGTAGCAACTGCGGGTCCCCGTACCTACTCAGATAGCACCCCGCTTTCATCTGAAATAGCACGTTCAATACTACATCCATTCTCAGCTGGTAAGCGTCTCCATGTCCCTTTTCTACGGCTCTTCCGTCCCTATTCGTCATTCACCATTCGTTCGCACTTACACTGGATGACGGCGGTGGCCGAGGTAACTGCCTGGCCGAGATCGTTGGTGGCACGGCACGTGTAGGTGCCAGAGTCCTCCTCCTGGGTGTACTTCATGTCCAGCGCCACGAAACCGAAGTCGTGCAGCGTCGATATGCGGTTAGCTGGCGGAGGGTCGTGATTCGTTAGTGACGTGGTGAAATCGCATGGAGACGAAGAATGCATCATTGACAGATGGCCTTCAGCAACTTCGTGTTTTATGTACTGAGTTTTTTTTTCTCTCTCGTCGTAAGTATCCTCATGCTACACATCGTTTTCCTCAGCAGAGCCGTGACATACTTTTTGCAAACCTTGCACACATTGCAATATTCGACAGCACTCCATCACGCTCACGGATCTAACTAAATCACGAAGTTCATCGCTAGCCCGAGCCCGTCGCCTCTCACCCTGCTGGAGCGGCACGCCGTTCTTGAACCACTCCACGCGCAGGTTGGCGTCTCCGACGGGGATGAGGCGCGCCTCGAAGTGCAGCGGCTGGCCCTCGACGAGCCGGACGTCGCGTACGGGCTGGGTGAAAACGGGCGCCTGTGCGGTGCTCTCCTCGGCATCGTGTGCCGGCCGCGCCTTCTGCTCCAGGTAGCGGAGCTTGTCCAGAGCCTGCTCGTGCAGTGTACCCTGGTCGATGGCGCCCTTGGCTGCAGGAGGCGAGGTGGGGGTGGGGTGAGGTGTCTTCATTGACGAAGATGTGGTGGTAACGCTGCCGGGTGAAACCCGTTTACGTTGCGGTTAAACAAATTAGCGAACGAAGATAAAATACGGTGATAAATGGACCTTTGTAACTCCCGCTAACAGCATGCGAATTTAGACTTCCTGTTGGCAAGACTTTGTCAGTCAACGTCTCCATATCAGTTTTTTCGTCTTTCAGAACCATCGTCTTGCACTTTTTTGTTCTATTCTAACGATAAAAAGGCTTATGGATAGTTTTATAAAATAGTTCACGGAACCAACACGCAAAATTCGGTTAGAAGTGCGCACACGTAGTCATGACACTATTTACAAAACATTCGTAAGAAGTCGCTCGATACAAGTTTGCTGGCTGAACTAGTTCACGCAGAAATGTTTAGCGAGCCGCATATAGAAGATAGATAAGGAAGCGGTGCGAGCGACTTTAGCGAGTGTCATTTGAGCGAACGTCATTTGAGCGAACCATTTTCAGCGACTGGCGACTTAGCGAATATCAAATTGAGCGATTATCAAATATAGCGATTATCAATTTAAGCGAAAGCTATGTTTCAGCGACATCTTTTTCGTCGACTACAGTTTGAGCGACTGTCATTTCAGCGAAACACTTCATCGTCCCGTAACGGTGTATTTTTCTTTTTCTTTTTTTCTTTTGCGAGCGTACGTACAACGAATGTTTCCGTAACTTTTCATGGTTATCCGGAACTGGATGGCGGATGTCACGTTCAAAGTTCAGACATTAAGCTCCAAATTTAATGCCGCATTTCTCAAAAATTCCAGCGGTTCGATTTCACCCCCCCCCCCTGCTGTTTGCCAATACTGATGACCAAGCGTTTGTTCAGAGATTCATATTGCTTGTGCTGTTTTTCGCGAAATTCCCCCGCTTGAATTTGGATCAGTCCACCATGTTGTAAAGTTTGTTCTTGCCCCAAGCAACGTACGAATTTCCAGATATTTGGGTGAGGTCCCTGAAACATAGACTGGATCCCCCTGTGCCATCCCTCAAGTTTATTATCGGTCCTTGGTATTCCTTCCATCGTCCTATATCTCATGTTCCACATTTCCAGATCAAGGTTGCAGAATGAGGCCAGATATTTTTGTGGTTTCCAAGCTTAAAAGCAAATTCTTAATTTGCCGCGCGCAGCTTGAAGCATGACACATACCAAGCGGGTATTCCAAGGGCAAGAATTCCCGAAAAGTAGCAAATGATTGACTTCCGTCGCGTTCGGTTTCGCTGTAACTGTGTTCGCTCAATTGGTCCCCCATTGACCTCCATATATTCGCTCAATCTGGTTTCGCTGATTCTGGTCCTCGCTTAAGTTGATAATCGCTGTGATTGAATTCGCCGACCTGACAATCGCTGAAAAAGTCAATCGCTTAAATTGATAATCGCTGAAAAGGCTTCGCTCAAATGTCGTTCGCTGAAATGACGCTCGCTCAGGTGTCGCAGAACCATAAGGAAGGTGTTGAGTCAGAGATGG